GATCCCAGCCTGAGCCCAGGAGATTGAAGCTGTAGTCACCTGAGATCACGACCCTGCACTACAGCCTGGGTAAAAGAGCAAGACCCAGTCTCCCAAAAAAAAAAAAAAAAAAAAAAAAAAAAGCCCGGTGTGACAGCCTACACCTATTGTCTCAGCTACTTGGGAGGCTGAGGTGGGAAGGTTCTTTGCTTGAGCCCGGGAGGTTGAGGCTGCAGTGAACTGTGACTGTTCCCCTGTACTCCAGCCTGGGTAAGACCCTGTCTCAAAAAGAGCAGGTTTTCATTCTTTGTAATAAGTGAATTTTGTATTGCTGATTTCTATAGATTCTTGACTATAGATTTTGACTCGGTTACTTGGAGCTTACATGTAGAGGTACAGCTACAAACCGCATGTCCCAGGCTTCTTGGGGATGTTCTCTTCCTCCCTGATGGGCCTAAGTTCCTAGCAACCATAGCCATGCCACAGATTCCAAAAGGAATCAGAGAAACGACGGCTTTGGATTTATATTCTCTCTAGGCAAGACAAGAAAATCCATAGCCCCACTGATGTAGCTGGAGGGCGAGGTGGTGCCATTTCTGCCGATGGGAACTAGCAGTCATTATTACCACAGCACTGGGAAGAACATAGCCAGGTGAGACTGAACACTCACCTACCTGTCCAACATTATCCTCCAGAATCTTGCTCTCAAGCTTCATGTCTGAACCCAAGGCAAACCTACTGCCCTGAAATCAGCATCATGTGTTTAGGAGAGACAAAGGCAGAAAAAGAAATACATTTTGAATCCCAAGGAAGGGGCACGTACTAAAAAGGAAATAGCCTGATCTATTCTGAAGTTCTCACTTTTTAAGCGAAGAGAATATATTAATTCTTTTTTTATGATTATTCTCATTATATTCTGCTAAACTTCTTTCTCTCTTGTCGGCTACTTGGTATTCCTCATTTAGAGTTGAGATTTGCCAAAGTTGGGTGCAGAAAGAACTTGCTCCAGACAGTCCTCAAAATGCCAAACAGACTTTCCTACCTGTTCCATTGGATAATTCTACCTCCCATCCAGAAAAGAAGTGGCATGGCCTCCCTGGGTTAGCAGGTTATCAAAATTCTAACCTGCGGGTTGCAATGTAACCAGAAAGCCCTCACCTGGTCCTCTCCATGAGCAGGGAGCCTTTGCTATGAAGCACAGGTGCCAGGCAACTTTTGAGAACAGGTGCTAAGGTTGTTTTTTTCTGACCTGCCTCATGGTCGGGATTCTAACTCAAGGAAACAGCAATTTGCAGTTTTTAAAAAGATGAATATTTTTACCTCTGCCTTAAAAAGAACAAAACAAGCACATTCTGAGCCTGGCTTGCTGGGCATAGGGCTGAGTGTGATGTTGATGTGTAACTGCTTAAAAAATCAAGACTGCAAGAAAGGGGTACAGAGAAGGGGAGTCAGAGACACATCTTCCCAGTGTTTACCTTTAATGCTACTAAAGAAAAGAAATCGGTGGTCTGTGCCCTGCTGTGAACAGGTACCATCAGTAGGGTAGATAACGGCGGCCTTAAGAGGATTGCCAGACTGGCGTGACTTGCTTACTTTAAAATATTTTTACAAATCATACATTCTGATCCTCCTGTATCCTAGTTATTGTTCTTTTTTCATCTTTTGTATTTTTAGGCAATATCTTCCTTTTTTTGCATTCATGCAAATACACCATTTTATATCTTAAAGGCTTAAATAAAGCACGCTGGATGGATGAATGTACGGATTTTTCATCTTAGATGAAAAAATCCAGTCCTCTAGGTTCTGGTGCAGGGAAATCATATTTAGAAGAAGGGAGATGTTGATGTGAGTATCTGAAGAATCATTTTCCGATGGGACTATGAGCCCTCTCATCTCACTTTTATTCCAGTGACCTTTGCACATGCAACTTCTCCTGCATGCAAGACATCTCTCTTTCCCCTCTCTAGGAAATTCTTATGCATCTCTCTCTCTCTCTCTCTCTCAGCTTACATGTTGCTTCTTTCCAGAAGCCTTCTCACAATATCTGTCTGCCTGTTCAGACTCTCAGCGGCCGCTCACATCACCATAGAACAACACAGTCTACTGCAGTCACTCAGCTTCCTAGTCCGTCTGTCCTGCTACTCAGGTAAGCCCATGCAGACAGGAAGTATTTCTGCCTTACTCATAGTTGGCTCTCATGAAATGCAACAAACACTTAATGCTATCTACTGAATCAAAGATCAAAGTGTAGATTTCTGTT